CCCCCCCCCAAAAAAAAAAAATAAAAAAAAAAAATCCTACTTTGGGAAATGAGCTACACGGAGGATAACGGCTTAGCTGTGTCTCAATCTTTCCATAATAAGAAAGAAAACGGGCGCGCGTGATGGTGGCAAGTAAACTGCTCAAACACACTAAAACCACCAACTCTTTGGCTCGCTCAAACCTTTCCAGAATAAGAAAATGTTCGATGGAAGTTAAAATTCTACGTTTTTAATTATTTTCATAATTTTCAGGAAATACGCCCTGAAAGTCCAAGATTGACTCCGTTGGGAACAATAATTAAACAGAACACAAAGAGGACAGTCAAAGGAGGCCTTTTTTTTTTTTTTTTTTCCTTTCAGTTTGTTTGTGTGGCATTCAGTGCGTGTGTGTGTGTGTGTGTGTGTGTGTGTGTGTGTGTGTGTGTGTGTGTGTGTGTCTTGATCAATCGGGAGTTGTGACCCTGATCGGCTGCCCCTTCCTTCACCTGCGCACAACTTCGTCCAACATTCAAGAGGAGGCAAATGCCTTTCGACTGACCGAGAAGACACAAAACTCCACCCATCCACCAAACTACCCATCTATCCAACCAACCCCCATTCATCAACCCTCTATCCACCCACCCACCCACCCACCCACGGCGTAGGCATCGAGAAGCTCTATGATGCGTAAGTCCGTCGATGCGTCTGTCGATGGGATGTCATGGGGAGGGAGGGCGTGGAGAAAACACACTCCCATCTCCTCGATGTCGTCCTTGGTGATGGAAGCTCGAATGCTTGAGGCGTACACCATATGATAGTTGATCGAAGGGTGAGGTGGAGGCACCGTGCACGTGACGAGTATTCCATTCCGATCACGAACGTGAACGGTGCGGTGGTAGAAGTTCACCGGGTGATCCTCGCTTCGCAGCCATAGCATGCCCAAAATCATGTCAAACTTGGTGTCCAAAATGTCGAAGGACACGACCTCGCTTGCATGCGGGGCGAAGTACACGGGGATAGAATCAATGCACCAGCTGATTGACTTGTGTGTGTGACCGTCGGCCAACGTGACTTGCGTGGGCTTCGACTTCCTCCGAACGTGTGGCCCAAGGCCGACGCGTACCATAAAGTCTTGGTTCATATAGTTGCGAGTAGCTCCACAATCGATCAAAGCGCTGCACGTCGCCTCACCGATCTGAATGCGTATGTACAACAAAGGCGTGTCGTTGTTGTCGTATTGTTGTGTCTTGAACTCGCAGTTGATCTTCGCAAGGTAGTCGCGAAGGTCAACAACCCCTACTCCTGCGTCCATCAACGGAGCTGGTACTGCAGTGCGCAAGTAATCCCGCAATTGTGCCATCACTGCCATGAACACGTTGCAATGCAGTTTCGACAATCGACCGGTTGGGGGAAGGGGCATCCATTGGAAGTTTGTGAACGTCTCGGGTCGAGTCTCTCAAGTCTTGACCATGACGTCGAATCCCCGACGAAAGTTGGTGGCAAAGCTGCCGAATCGGTTGTCGATGGTGGTGAAACCGTGCATGCAGTGGATTGTTGCACGTGGAGTGACTGGTCCAACGGTGGGACCAAGTGGACAGCGTAATCCTCGTAAGTGGACTGAGGACTCATGACATCCGCATTCTCCCCGGATGTGTAGGAGGCCGTTAGCAAGGTTGTCGAATCTGGCGGAGTGAGAGGTGGAGTCGCCTCACCTCTTGTGCAGCTCAGTTTCCCGAGTTGATTCGAGGTCGAACATCCTCCTTGCCTTGATCTTGGCATTGGGAGGTCTTGTGCTTGGCGTTGTTGCACCAATAGCAACAACCGTATCGACTGCGGTACTTGTATTCGGCCTCGGTCAAGTTGAACTTGACCCATGGTACTGGCTGTCCATTTCCGGCCAACGATGCGGTTTTCTCCTTCCCTTTTCCACGGGAGTTGTTGTTGCTTCACGGCTGACAACGGCCACACGATCTCCCTCACGTGATGTTGGGGTTCCACAATGTTGTCCGGTTGGACTGCAGAGACGGCCTGTGGATGCGGACCAAATTTTCCTTTCTCCACATGGGCTGGCTGCCACGCTGACTTCTCATGTGCAGCAGCCCGGTTGGTCTTGATGATCTCAAACGCCTTGTCGATGATTTCGGTGAAGGTCGTGTACTGTTCTCGATCACCGAGTGCGAGGCTCAAGGCGACAGACCAACGGTTGTAGAACTCCCGAGGCAGATGCGAAAATGGCAACTCGAGATCGGGTGTTGCCACAAGCTTTTTCCATTCCGTGAGCCAATCGCGTGTCGCTGTGTTGCCTTGAGTCATGACGAAGAGGCGGCTGATGGCGAGAACGGGGGCGTCATCCACAATGAACCACTTCTTCCATTCCTTCGTCATATCGTCCCGGGATCTCTTCTTGCGCAGGTTGGAGACCTGAACGTCATGGATGGTTGCCATGTGGTTGAGCCAGATCTGGCATCCGCCCTTGATGTAGAGGAACCGCCCCGAGATGTACAAGTGATTGGAAACCTCATGAATCCCAATCTCCTTTGTAAAGCCTTGCCACCAAACGACCGGGTCATGATGCGTATAGTCATCAAACTTCTCGATCTGGAACGTTGGCATCTTGTACGGCCGCAATGCACTGGTGCTTTCCTCGTTGTCGGGCGGTTGATGTAGTTGCCGAACCTTGGTCTTCAAGTTGTCAAGCTGCTCGCTGATGGTGGCTGGTGCGACGAAGGTGCTGATGCCGCCGAGCATTTCGACTACATGGTCAACTCATTGCTCCAACTGGCGGGTTGAGGCTGCATTGCTGGGTTCGCCAGCATCTGGTCCTGGTGCTTCTTGCTCCAAGTCCTATACACGGGAATGAAGTGCCCGCGTAGAATCCTCGTGCATATCCTTGTGGTTCCGCACCGTCCGTCGGAGATTTTCCAACTCGGACTACCGGTGGTTACAAGTGTAAACCAACGGGGTACGAGTTTGGAGAGGAACTCCTTGTGTTGCTCTTCTGGTGTCGTGTCGTCGTGGCCTTCGGATGGTTCAAAAAGCCAGAACTTGAGCTTGTTGACGCTGGCGGCTTCGTGCCGCTACAACAGATCATGGGCCTCCTTGCGGCGGGCCAAGGCATCTGCGTCAGCTGCGGCCTGCAGCCGCTGCTTTTCAGGTGCTGCCTCCGCTTCAGCCTGTAGGCGGGCAGCCTCGACTATCAGTGAGGCATCACGGAGGAATGCTATGAGCGAGATCTAGGCAAGGTGTCGCAAAGTTTCGACTTTCAAAAAAATGCGATCTTGAATTTTTTTTTTTGCGCGAAATAGGTTGGAGGTTCCACTTTCAGAGAAGAATAGATCCACTTTCCGAGAACGTGACAACCTCCCTAGTTCACCTAATATGCCTAGAGGGAAAAAAAAAAAAAAAGCTAAAATCCAACTTTCCGGAGATTTGTTGAAAAAAAAATTAAAAAAAATTGCAGAGATTTGACAAAGTCCTACTTGATTAAACCACCAGTACCTACCGGTGGTTAAGTCCCTACCCTATTCATGAACAACCTGAACCTCAGCCTACCGCCATGATTTGTCTTTTGTGGTTGTCTCGACGCCAGCAAACTCGGCGGGCTGCGCGGAGCACCCCGCTAAGGCCGCCAAGATTCTCTCTCTCTCTTCTGTGAGCCCATGGAAAGATTCAAGCTTTATCAAGTGTCTTTTTTTTTTTTTTTTTTTTTTTTTTTTTTTTTTTTTTTT